AAAGATCCATTTAAAGATTCTATATATTTCTTTTTTCTTAAAATTTATGTACTTGGTACAGGGTCTTACTATGAAGCTCAGACTCGTGGTGATCCTCCTGCTTCCAGCCTCCCCAGTGCTGGGATTACAGGCGCGCGTTGCCACGCCCAGACTCCATGGAGGGCTCAGTGCACCCGGAGGGAGGGCCTGCACAGCAGGACTCTATATATTTCTGAACAACTAATTTGAAGATAGCATCATGTAATATAGTAACCATTGCTGAATTCCTATTGCTTTGTTTAGTGAAATCTTGTATAGTTTCTAATGCTTTTTCCCCCATCACAATTTTATACACTTTTTAAAAAATTTTTATGTATTTTAGTACAGAGTCTGGGCTGGGGAGATGGCTCAGTGGAATAAGCGCTTCCCTGGCAAGCACAAGGGCCTGAGTTCAATCCCCAGTTCTGAAAAAAAAAAAAAAAAAAAAAGTACAGAGTCTGCAGGGTCTCACTACATAGATCAGACTCATAGTGATCCTCCTGTTTTCAGCCTCCCAAGCCCTGGGATTACAGGCGCACGCCCCCATGCCCAGTCTCGCCCCCATGCCCAGTCTCGACTGTCTCAGGGCACCCAGTGGCGGGGGAGGGGCCAACAGGCATGCCCCAAATTGAAGCCCGGCTGCTGTGCTCTGCAGCTTGTTTACAGAAGACACTAAAAATAAATAAATAAAGACTATTTATATTTGCTGTAGGCATAAGATTTTTATTATCATTAAGCTGATTTCTACATCTTTGTTAGAAATAGTTAATGCTGGGCCGGCGAGATAGCTCAGCCAACTAAGTGCCTGCTTGGGCAAGTACAGGGACCGCAGGGACTGGGGTGGATCCCTGGCATCACACGCTGCACCAGCTCCACCCCCAGGCATGCTGAGCCGCCACCAAGATCAGGTGTGGTGGCACATGCCTGCAATCCCTGTGCTGGGCAGCTGAAAACAGAGGAGAATCACTACAAGTCCAAGCTGCATAGTGAGACCCTGTACCAAATACATGAAAAAAAAAAAAAAAGAAAAGAGTTACTGCTGCTCCCTTTCCACTAGTGTTATGCTTAGTAGCTAGGGTCTCGCTATGCTGTCAGGCTGGCCTCAACCTCACAGTGACCCTCCACCTCAGCCCCCAAGTCCTGCAGTCACAGGTGTGCGCCACCGGCTAGGGTGACGGTCAGTCCATCTAGGCGCCTGCCTGCAAGCACAAGGTCCCCGATCCTCGGTACCACATGCTGTCCTGGTTCCAGAACCCCATACTGGCCACCAAAAGTGGGTGTGGTGGCGCATACCTGTAATCCCAGTGCTGGGGAACTTTAGACAGGAGGATCACTAAGAGTCCAAGCTGCACAGCAAGACCCCATGCCAAATAAATAGATATGCATCACACCTATACCACCACACCAGCTCAGGTGACAGCCCTGACAATTTAGTATCTGTCATTTGGATTCCTCCCCAGCTCCTTCCCTTTCCTTTCTTCCTATTTGCTCTTCCTTTGTATTGGGGATGGAACCCAGGGAGTGCTGGGCTATACCCTCATTGCGCTTTGTTTTTGGCGGAACCCGGGATTGAACTCAGGCCCTTGCACTTTCCAGGGAAGCACTTATTCCACTGAGCCATCTCCCCAGCACCCCCTTTTGTTTTTTGAGACTGGCTTTCCCTAAATTGCCTAGGCTAGCTTGAAACTTGCATTCCTCTTCCTGCAGCCAGGTAGCCCAAATTACCATATTGGTATTGCAGTTCTTTGGCCTGGCTCTGATTACCAAAAGCTGGACCTCTTCAATCGAAGAATTTGGGACAACATGGTAGAAAAAAAGATCAAACTTTGGAGAGGCAAAACTGATGACAAGACATAACGCTGCACCTGTATACAGCTCCTACTTAAGGTTTTGCCAGTAAGCTTTTCTCTTTCAAGGATCTTTAAACTTTAGTACAAATTTATTTTCTGATTCATCTGTACAGATTGACACAGTTATGGAGGGGAAGAAGAGGACTGGGGCTTGGCAGGGACTTGAGGGCACGGAAGGGAAAATGAATATACTGCACCACAAAGGGATAGCAAGGAAGATGCTTGTGGTATGGAACAGTGCTGTGGCCTGGGAGAACGTGCTGCTAGTTAGCGGGCTACACGTGGTAAAGTCACACAGAGAAACACACGAGTGCACGGGGACTGGTGAAAAGTGAGGTAAGTTTGTGGATTGCACCAGTAGTAGCTGCTTGCTTGGTTTGTTGCCGTTTTTGTGGTACTGGGGATTGAACTTGAGACCGTGCACTTGCTAGGCAGGCATTTATGCTGCTGAGTTATATCCTTGGCCCAAACATTTTTTTTTTAAATTTTATTTATGTGTGTGTGTGTGTGTGTGTGGCCAGCTCAGCCCACCAGGGGGCGGGGCTGGCTGGCATGTGGTGCTGGGGGATTGAACC